CTGGGCTCGCCATGAAGTAAGTGCTGTTTATAATCTTGGTGGGGTCAATGTACCTAACATTACGCTAGATAAAAAGCCAAATAATACATATTATTGTTTTATTCGTAGATTCAAGACGATACAGCTGATTTACATGGTGTGTCTCAACCAGTAGTAAGTAGGACATGTAAAAAAGTAGCGGAAATTTTGTCACGGAAGCCCTGAGAATTTATTAAAATGCCTACTACTTTAAATGAACAGCAGGAAACCATTAGGAAATTTCGCAGTATTGCTAATTTTCCTACAGTAATTGGCGCAATTGACTGTACTCACATACGAGTAAAGAAAGTGAATGCTGATGGGGGTCAGTTATATATTAATAGAAAAGGATTTTCTTCAATTAATGTACAGGTAATATACAAATATTTTAAATAGCTGTGATTGTCTCTTAATAACTTTACTTTATCATAATAGAAAATAATTTGTTTGACTATCTTATGGTAATAAATATATATTAAAATAAACCAGAAAAACATAAAGTACTAATGAGCTCTTATTTTACAGGTGGTTTGTGACGCTGACCTGAAAATCATGGACATTGTTACCAGGTGGCGTGGTAGTGTACATGACTCCAGAATATTCCGAGAATGTAGACTAAAACAGAGGTTTGAGGCTGGTGCATTCTCTGGAATATTACTTGGTGACAGTGGCTATGCTTGTACCCCTTACCTATTTACACCGCTGCTGAACCCCACAACACCACAAGAAGAAAGATATAATAGGAGCCATATCTGTACCAGGAACACAGTGGAAAGATGTTTTGGTTTGTGGAAGCAACGGTTTCGTTGCCTATTAAGAGGTATGTTTGGAGATATTGAAACAGCAAAAAAAACAATTGTTGCATGTGCTGTACTACACAATATGGCCATCGACATGAGAGAAGATGTGTTTCCTGGTGAGAGAGATAGCATTGAACAATATTCATCTGAACCTATAGTACAAAGATATATTGCACCATCAATAAGGGGAAATATTAGAAGAAGACAGTTTATTGAAACTCATTTTCAGTAGGTAAACATTTTTTTTTTACATATTTATATAGCTATTTATAATTAAAATTAATAATTATATTTATAAAATTGTCAATTTTTTTTCAATTGTCTAAAGCTATGTATATATAATTTATTTTATTTTGTTATTCAGAGGCCAATTTTGGCTATAAAATTACATTAAGGATCAATAAATGTATAAGACAATTATAATAATATTTCTTTTTGATTTCAGAGATAATACCCATTTATAAAGGAAAATATTTCTGCAGAGCCGTTGTCAGCTGTCAAAGAATAACGACTACATATTCACCAATATGAAATAAATTCAGGGTAGTATTGTGATAATATTTCATTTATTGAGCAAAATGCTTTTATTTAGGCTATAAATGATTGTGTTTCAGGGAAAGATGCGGGGTACAGCACATTCCACATCAATATGAAGCTATATTATATAAAGATTTAAGTGCTTTAGAGATATGTTTAGATTTTTTAATAAATATCGTCCCTCCTCTACATTCACAGCCGGATTTCCTTTCCAGAGGTGCACGGGTCCACGGGGAGTAGGACTGTATGATGACTAAGTAATTAGGTTTAGTTTTTTTTATTATAGTTTTTTACTATTGTATATTATATTTCACTGTTATGTAAATAAAATGCATATTAATTATAATTATTTATTTTAATTATTAATAAAAGATGTACAAATATTTGCAGCAATTTAGTACCTGAAAATAATTGTTTCATATATGAGGATATTTACAAACATGTATCTGATATAGTCTCAAATATTTAGTTTTTTTATAGGATAATGGTGATAAAACACAGTCTACCACACACACATACACACACACAGTCCATCTGATGTTAAGTAACTGCTGTGGTGCATAGACGTCCACATCTATCCTCGACTACAAATCAAAATGCAGATGCGTTGTCACCCGTGTGGAGTAAGATGGAATGCCTCGTTTCCTGTAAAAGAGGTCTCTCTCATACAAAATTTGTACAAAAATTTATCCAAAATTTGTCAATAAACAAGTTTAAATGTTTTATTAAAGAAAAATTTTATAAAAAGGTTATTATAATATCAAAGAATACATAAATGAGAATATTGGAAATACTGGAATTGAGGTGATCGCCACCATGGTGGTTCTATTAAAATTCATTTAAAAATTGTACAAATAAAATTATTGTTAAGAGAAATATGTTTATAAAAAAGTCCCGCTGGGTTTCTTACTAGTTCTTCCCAGGACTGAGGTATTTTCCGAACCAGTGGTAAATAAAAAATGTCTTTCAATAAGTATTCTGTAATAATCTATATTTAATAAAAATCATTCTATTCTATTTTCATTCTATAAACTCACCATAATAAACACAGCAGCATTAAGCTGCTATTTAACTTGTGTTTTTCTGACTTTCTAATAAAAATATTTGTAACTCTAATTTTCTAATTTTTAGGTTAGCTATTTTAATATTGTATTTATGTTCCTCTTCCATCATTTCCAGTTGTCTTTTTTTAAAATCTGTGTTACTTTTTACAATTGTTTGGTGTACATCTTCTCTTCTGTAAAATGAAATGGAATACTTAATGTAAGTTTTGTAGTTATTTTAGAAATTTACAAAGTATTCTAGAGTAATAAAAGTGCACTTAACCTTGTACACCAATTAAAGAAATATTTTTTAATTATTTTTAAATCAATTCATATTAAACTTTGCTTTTAATATTTGAAAACATGAAACAATTTTCAGTGTTTAAATACTAATTTTCACATTTTAAAAAGTATGTAATGTATCAGACTATGTAATTTTTTCAACATACCTATTTTGCAAGCTATTTTTCCTGTTTTTAATTTTTGTTATACCCCTAGTAATAATATCTTTATTGTTGGTTATTTTCACCATTTTGGCACTTTCTTCTGTATTTGTAGTTGGATCTATCTCTAAAAATTAATATAAATATAACAGTTTTAGAAAATTAACATTTATAATATTTACAAACTTGTATGCATATGATTGTAACTATAATAATAATATATTTTGCTTTTTAATAAATATTCAATCAGTATTATTTACCTTGCACATATACAACATTGGGTTCTGGATTTTCTACATTTTTAACTATAGCTGTGTCTGTTTTTTCAAAATTAAGGCGAGGCTTAGGGTCAGCAACTTCTTTTGATGTTGTAGCCACAGTCACTGGATCCTAAAATAAATCATTAAAACATTTATTAACATGTTTTCCTGTCACCTGTCATCTCTATTTTGCCCTTTATTGAATCAGGTATTTTCTATGTTGTAGAAATATTATTATGATCCAAGACAAAAGGTAATTTAATAAATTATTAATTATAATACCTAATAGAAAATTATAATCGGACTGTGTAGATAATCTAGTAAAATGTGTGTTATGATATTATATAGACCACTATATATGAATTTGTGACATTTCAATTTTGAATATAATTAATTATAAAGGAATTTATGTTAAATTGTTACTAAGTATATTAAATTTTGAATATTCGGAAAATAATTTTGGATTGTAAATTGTATGCTTTAAGAGTAGATTTCAGAGCACTACCTAGGTACTAAAGTAATGGAAAATAAAGTTCTTTAATTTTAATTAAATTTGTAAGACATGTAAGTAATTTTATTTACCACTGCATCACTATCATAATTATTAACTTCAACGATAAAGTCGTGAGGGGCAATGGACATTATTTCCAAGTCCTCAAGAGAAGGTGATGGAGGTTTTCCGCCACCCCCGGTCTTTGATTGTTCCCTCCTATATGTGTATAAGTTTGATTTAGCACACAACTTCATTCTTTTCCAAGATAATTTCAATTCACCATCTGATCGGCGTTTACCTGTTAGCTCATTAAATCTAAAAAAAATAATACGAAATCACGTAAACAATACCGTACCTATTTGTACACATAACAAATGCGATAAGTACTTACTTATTAGTTATATTCTTCCACTCTTTTATTTTTTGAATATTTACCGATGTTTTTGTCGACTTATTCTCTATTATATGTGCTGATTGTGAAATAAGTGTACGTAATATTTCCTATAATAATAAGAACATTCCTTTTAGTTGAAATAAGGATAATAGGAGGATAAGAGTATTGCTACGTACTGACAAATAAATTTCGATATTTCACTAACTTTTTCTTCAGAACTCCAATTTTCACCCCGTTTTTTCTTTTGTTCCATTATTATATAAATATAATTGTAATAGCAAGTACTTAATTAATTATTAATAATTTAATTTACTTATTATAAGGCTGCAATATAAACTATTTTGAACGTCTCGAATCCCGCGCTCGCGTTACCTCTGTAATTCACTACATTTCACGCTAGAGTTGTTAAACTGAAAACAACTTGATATAATCAAAAGCGCGTCAAAAGTATATGTCGTGCTTGTTCAATAGATTTTAACGTAAACAAATAACAATGTATGATATGTTTTTGTATTGATGGATAATTATTTAAGCATAATTAAATGTGAAAATAATATTAATATTTTATGAAACCGAACGTTGCATTGAATGAAACCTGTATGAACGAATGATAGAGTGTCATTTTTTGTTTTTTATCTGTGAATGATATTTAATATAATACTAACGTTGGTATTAACTGGTCCTCGGGTAGTCTGCGTTTTGTAATAAGCACACGTTTTAGTGCTGGTATTAACTAGAATATTGTAACAAACCTGGACTTCTTACTCCTAAACTTAACCCAGTACTAAAACATTTTTTTGGAATAAGACTGGTAGTGTTTCTATATAGTTTGTGAGTTAAGTTGACCAAAATCATTCACATAATATTCGTTTGTTACCATTTCTTGTATTATCAATTTCCTTTTTTAAGCAGAGTTTGTGTCCCAATTAAACCTCACATGTAACATGTCATTGGCGAATTCATCGTAACCGCCATAAAGGAAGAAGAAGAAGAATAGAGTGAATATTGAATAATGGAAAAGGAATTTTTAGTGTCTGGTTGTAATTTATTTGGCCAATGGTTTGCAAAGGAACCAATTATAGAAACATTTAAAAACATCACAAATACCTATTGCGATTTATCAATAGATTTTAATGTTAAATATGCAAAATTAGTTTGTATGTGTTGGTCATATAACATATTTCAATGGAAAGATGATTTCTTTGTAACTGGGGCCTGGGCAGGTAAAGAAAATGTTATAACAAAAATAGATATCATAAAAGAATACGGTTTAAGTGCTTCAGAGTTGACAGTTGTCGGTAATGATTATAATATAGTTTTACTAGATATTAAAAAATTAAAAATATGGATATTGTGTTTGAAAGAGAAATTACAAGTTACTTTTCTAGATCTTATTTGTGAGTACCCCATAACACAACAAATAAAACAGCAAAGTGATATAGGAATTGTAAAAGCAGTTGCCACTAATACCTCATTCCTTTATTTAACAAATATGGGATCTGTGCTCTTTGGTATGAAACCTAGCTACTTGGATACAAGCCATTGCATAGGCAAAGTTTGTGATATTGCCTGCGGTTATAATCATTACATGCTTCTCACAGATGCAGGACATCTTTATTCTTGGGGATGTGGCCAGTAAGTATATCAAGTATATTTTTTAAGAGATTTAGGTAAGGAAATACTGATCTTATATTCAAAATGCTATCTGGATGTTTATTCCATGTGAAACTTAGTCACTTATGTATAAAAATATGTGTCCAATCCATTACTAATGATTTCTAATGTTTGAATTATCGAGAAGTATACATCATCATAAAATTATTCATATTATGAAGGTATGGTAGTGATAACACTGGGATGAACACGTTTAACTTCAACATTTTCCTCCCAGATCTTACATATAATAATATTTAATATAGATATATTCACAAAATTCTGTTGTAACTTTTTTCAGAATTAATATAGCTGAGGACAAAAGCATAATTAGTGCTTTGTAGTCAAAAATTAAATAAAATATTATTATTTTATGTTAACTCTTAAAATAATTCGCACAATATCAAGTCAGTATTTGCCTAAATGTTAATTTGCATAATTTCTGTTTTAATTCATGAAACACACTACTAGTTACTTAACCGTCCACCCCGTGTTAGTGATTTTCGACTGACCTATCCGTGCATTAAATGTCACTATTTTTTTATGACCGTGCGAGATTGTCTTAACAAAAACGACTACTACTGAAAAACTACTATAGCTACATTCAAATAAAAAATATTCTCAAAAGACTCAAAGAATTCAAAATTTTATTTTGTTAAAAGAAAATTAGTCAAATTAAAAATAAAGGCTCAAAATAAAGCTGAAAATGGGAATATCACAAAAAAGTCGTATTTATTTTTATTTCGAGTTTTACAAGAAAAGTATAATACTTACAGGAGACAATTATTTTGTGTTATAATACTACATGATATTCCCTTTAAAATGACACCATTATCAATAATATATACATAAGTATATAATTTTTACCCAATATAAATTTGAATAAATAAGTAAATAAATAAATAAAAATAAGTTTTAATAATTTCTAGACATATCTCAACAGATATTTCGTTTATAAATTGCTATCAACATGTTAATAGTGAATCATTATTTTATATTTAGCATTTATTTAACACAAAAAACTGATTAAACAACATATAATCAATAAACGATGATCGCGTATAGTGATTAAAATTTTAAGCTAAATTATTATATGTAAACGTTATGAAATTGTTGTAATGATACATATTTATTGAAGAAAATATCTTCACAATTAGTTTGATGTACAATAACATTAGAAATAACGTTACACGTAACGTTAACAGAAAAGTTATCACATTTTTGATCGAATTTCTCACACTAGCATTCGACAAACAAAAATGGCGAAATTGAATTTTAACTTTTTTTCTAAATATTTTGTTACTATTATACAGATAAAATTCACTTTTACAGATGACAAATTTCATATAGCACCATCTATAATTTTTTACTGTATTAATAACAGCTATCTTTTGCGCTGTACACATTTAAACCAAAAGATGTCGTTTGATGGCTAGTCACCATGGAAAGGCGAGGCAATAATTGTTTTTGGGGACTGTAGTCACCGTGAACGGTTGAGTAGCTAGGCAGAAAACATTGTAAATTGGGCTTTAGAAATAATCTGCTAGTTTTGTCTTTATAGAACAATATTGCAGTTGCAATAAGAGCTACCAGAGACAGACAGTGACCTATTTCCAGCTATTAAAACAATAATTTTTTTTTTAATTTAATATATGGCTAAAAATAAATAAATATTTTTTATGACAGTTTTCTTTAGAAACCTAATAGAAAAATAACATTTTAGTTAATTTATATTAAAGGCCATAGTACAATTATAAATTGGGGGTTTTAACAACTATGTACTATACATTTAAAGTGGATGTGACCTCACCCTAGCAATATTGTACTGACATGCAAGTAGAGAGAAAACTACTACAAAACTGTTATTAGCTGATAATCATTTTCTCAATCCCAATAAGTACTACACATATTTACTGCCAGGTTACTGTAATAGAAACTCACTACCCAATCTGTTTTTTGTTGTCTGAAAGCAATATCCAGAACTTAAAACTTTGTGCTAAATGTATTATTGATTTAGAGTAAAATGAAACTTTTTCCTATGTAGTGGCATTGTAAGAGAATACACACCTCATACCATTCTGTGACTGTTGTAAGTGGTAACAGAGTAAAATTTAAAGTGGTGATAGGCAGCAGCTTTGTCCTGATTGCAACTCAGTGAAAACTTCCTACCCTTCCGCCAAGCAATGCAACTATGTCAGATATTCACCATTATTTGACACAGTCTCTGTGGGGAGATCCATTGAAACTTGTTTTTATGTTAATAATTTTTTTATTATAATTTTATATATATAATTTTATTATTATGTTAATAATGTATGTAATTTTTTATAATTTCAGAAGGCTGCAGCTAGGCCACGGTGACATAGAATATCTGGAAACGCCTAAAGAAGTCCATGCATTGGCTGGATTAAAAATTATTAAAATTGCTGCTGGCGGATTTCATTCTTTAGCTTTAAGTGAATGTGGTGATCTGTATGCATGGGGATGGAACGATATAGGCCAATTAGGAGTAATAACTGGGGATGAATTGGCTCACAATTGTAATAATTCTACAAGCTACTCATTGCCAAAATTGGTTGATATTTATGATGAAAAAGGTATTTTAGTTGAGTTAAATATAGTTGATATAGCTGCTGGATCAAGGCATTCAGTTATTATGTTGGAGGATACTTCAGTTTGGGCTTCAGGATATAACAAATATGGTCAACTTGGACTTTCGCCCGAGAAATTTCCAACAGTCAAATGTTTTAAAAAAATACTTAATTGTGATTTTGATTTTAAACTTATGTGTGGAACCTGGTCTACTGTGTTAACAAGAAACTCCATTTCAAGTGATACTTAATATTAGTGTTTCTCATACTAAGTGTTTTTTAACATTCATGAGCTTACTAAAATTCAGAGCTACAAATTATATTTATAAATTGTGTTATACTACTGCAATACATGTTTTTACATGTTCTCATACTTGATATTTCGTTATTTTTATGGCAATGGTGGTATGTTCGATTTAGGTAGATCTAAGTAAGATCAAGTAAAAAGTAAATTTCCGCAAACGACATGCGAATTGGCGCACAAACTATATAGAAACACTACGCGTTCAGACGGACGGCTTTTTTTTGCATTGATGGCAATGTACACTTTTCGATTCTAATGATGTCCGTGCCTTTCAGAATCCCATCTGTGGTATATGCTATAGAGTAAACATGTAATTGCTCTCTTGCTGCTTGCACTTGAATATTTTCAGTGGAAAGGTTCTCTTCAATACATTCGATATCCAGTGTATTGAGCTGGAAAAAGGAATATTTAAATATGTAAATTACAAGTTTGAATATTTGCGCTAATTGTAATTGTTGTTATTTATAAATGTTTGCATAGAAAATGTCAAGACAAGAAGAGACCATTGTAATCAGATGAAGTTACTTTCACATAAATCTAAGAAGCTTTCACAATTATACAGAAATTTCCAATAATTTATGAACATAATTATCATTGATACCTACAATAATTAAGTACATTGATTTTAGATAGAAGGTTCGGAGGATAAAAGTATTTGTAAAGTAGCCAATTATCTATTGGATTCTATGTTCATGTTCAGAGGGGTATGAAACAATGAGTTTGGCAAGGTGCTTTTTTTTTTAAAAAAAAAACGTTACCACCACACTAGGATTTTCTCCTGTATTGTGCAGGCAGTTTACAAACATATATTGCACAAGGACAAACATCCAGACCCGGAACAATTATATGTAGGCTGTACAAATACTCGTTCCGTGCGGGATTCCAACCCGCGGCCACAAGCGTTGCAACTCATTGTTAAGCCACTATGCCACGGAGCCGGTGACCACATCTTAAGATATTTTTATTCCTTAGACACACTGATTTCCAGAACATGATAAATTTGCACTTAAAATTGGAATTAACATTAATTCATTTATTTCAGTGGTGTAGACAGAGATCGGATTTGCTCAAAAATATAAACATATTACTAATCCTAACAAAAATTTTATCTGAACTAAAGTTTTAGAATGGCGATTGCTTTGCAATTTAAATTTTACATGATTATTACCTTAATTTTTTTACTTCGTTGGGAATCACATGTTCATCATTTAGTTTATCTAACAAGCGCAATTGAGTATGCTTGCAGTCCTGTTTAGTACACATCATCTTGCCATTTTAATACATTTCCATCTGTTATTATGTTTTGATAGCAAAATTATTCCTCATACCTTTTTTATGATGGCTGATCAAATATCACACTAAGTTTATTTGAAGTGTATCATCTGAAATAAAAACATAAAAGATTGTTTGTCATTGTCATTCAGACAGCCTTAATTTTGTAATTTGTGTGCGATTGTGCATAAAATAATCATCATTCATCATTACAGCCCTTCACAAGTCCACTGCTGAACATAGGCCTCCCCCAAAGAATGCCACAAAGCACGGTCCTGAGCCACCTGCATCCATCGACTTCCTGCATGTCTTACCAAGTCGTCACTCCATCTCGTGGGGGGACGCCCTACACTTCGCCTACCGGTACGAGGCTGCCACTCGAGAACCTTTCTTCCCCATCGGTTGTCGGTTCTTCGAGCTATATGGCCGGCCCACTGCCACTTCAGCTTACTAATTCGTTGGGCTATGTCGGTTATTCTGGTTCTACTGCGGATATCCTCATTCCTAAGTTTATCACGCAGAGAAACTCCGAGCATAGCCCTCTCCATAGCTCGCTGAGCGACCTTGAGCTTCCTCATACGGCCAGCAGTGAAGGACCACGTCTCAGTTCCGTAAGTCATCACTGGCAACACGCACTGGTTGTACAATTTCGTTTTAAGGTTTTGAGGTATGTCTGACGAGAAGATGTGTCGTAGCTTCCCGAACGCTGCCCAGCCGAGTTGAATCCGTCGATTGACCTCTCGGTCGAAGTTGGACTTACCTAGTCGGACTATTTGTCCCAGGTAAACATACTCGTCAACAACTTCGAGCTTAGTGCTCCCAACAACTACCGACATAGGTGTGACATGGACATTAAACATAATCTTTGTTTTGTCCATGTTCATCTTAAGACCTATCCGTTGGGAAACACTATTGAGGTCATTGAGCATAGTGCTTAGGCCCTCCAGCGATTCTGCCATAAGGACTATATCGTCGGCAAATCGAAGGTGAGTGATGTACTCGCCATTGATGTTGATACCGTACCCTTTCCAGTCCAGAAGCTTGAAAACGTCTTCCAATGCAGCGGTAAAGAGTTTCGGGATATGACTTCACCCTGTCTTACACCTCTCTGCAATTGGATAGGTTTCGTACTCTGGTTCTGTACTCGGATAGCCATCGTAGCCCTACTGTACAAGCACTTCAACACTTCGATATACCGACAGTCAACTTGGCACCGCTGAAGGGACTGCAGCACCGCCCAAATTTCGACGGAATCAAAGGCTTTCTCATAGTCCACATACGCCAGACATAGTGGCAAATTGTACTCTTCGGACTTCTGTACAACTTGCCGAAGGGTATGTATGTGGTCTATGGTGCTAAAGCCCTTTCGGAAACCGGCTTGTTCGGGAGGCTGGAAGTCGTCAAGTCTGCGCGCGAGACGATTCGTAATGACTCTCGAAAACAGCACGTAGACGCGGCTCAGAAGGGAAATCGGTCTGTAGTTCTTCAAGAGAGCGTTGTCACCTTTCTTGAAGAACAAGACCACCGCACTTCTGCTCCACGCCTCCGGTGTAATGCCACCATGGAGGACGGAATTAAAGAGCTTCTGAAGGACTTCAAGTACCGGTCTTCCACCCGCTTTCAGAAGCTCCGCTGTAATTCCATCCTCGCCTGGGGCCTTACCGTTTTTAAGGCGCTGGAGAGCCATTCTAATCTCGCTCAGACTGACGTCCGGGATATCTTCGGAATATAATAAATAATGTTGACAATTAATTATTTAAATAATAGAATTCCTCATTTAATTCAGCCATCAACTTAAAATTTTAATAAATTTGCAGACTATCATAAAGCTACTGGTAAACATAGGCCTTCATAGGTTATTGTATAAGGTGTTTTCCATAGTTGTAACCATAGACTTAGTACATTCTAAATCTATGGTTGTAACACTTGGCAGACAAGTTGGCAACCAGTTTATTATTATTACTAAGTTGTTATCAAAGAGATCACTTGAAATGCCAGGAATTAAGTAGTTTTATTCAATGTAAAGTATGTCCGTACATCTTTATTAAAAAAATTTAAATTTTATATGAATACTGAATATACTGAGCAGCAAAGATGTTTTATAGATCCAGATACCGTGTTGCTAACACACCGCAACGTTCATAACACAGAACACTAATACCCTTAGGGTTCATAATGAAGACAGTCTTTGATTCATGTGTGCGTGAGTACCACGTGACGCGCATATCTTATGCACCATGGCTGCATTAATGTGCGTGACTTCGGTAATAACAGTGCGAATCGATTACCCAAAAAATGTGGGAGATTTTATATTTCATTCCTATTGACGTACCTATTGATTCTAAGAGTATAAAATATGTGTGTGTGGCGTGTGCATTTGTGTGTGTGTGTGTGTGTGTGTGTGTGTATAGGGATATGGTTGCTTATGTGTGTTTTATGTAGGTACGAACATCGCACTAAAATATTGAAGATATGTAAAAAAACCTATAATTAATGTAACAGTTAAAATAAATAAAAAAGCACAGTAGATATTTATGTATGTAACATATATTTATAATCTATTATTACTAAATATATACAAAGTACTACACTTTTGTACTGTAGAACACAAAATATTGACACTTTTTACGAAGACATTAAATTATTTTTCAATCCTAAGTAAAATGACGAAAAAAAGTAAGTTTGGTTAAGCGTAAACTTCAGCCAAGAGATAGCAAAATGTTTATTTTTTTTAAATTGCTCCGTTCCGTTGCTGCGTGAAGGAAGGACAAAAACAAATAAACAAAAAAATCACACTTTTACATTTATAATATTATATTAGTATGAATTGTCAAGAATGATAGATAAACTTTTAAAACCGGTTTACAATCGGCTTTTTGAGGGTGGAACTATACCGGTTACACTATAACGGTTCTGAGTGACCAGAAAGGATAGAAGCACAGGAAAGTGCAATTTCATGCTGCCAGATGTAGTTCGACCCTAACCCTTAAAACGGTTTAACTCTATAGGCTGGGTAAAATCTGTAAAATTAGACTTTTTCATAGACTAGGCAGCACTCGAATATTATTGCGCAGTATTATTACTTGTATTGACATTTAGCTTTCGTATTCTTTTACAAAGAAATACACCATAAAATTGTATAGTTACTTATGAAAAGTGATGTTCTTATCCTTATCTTTTTTCCAAGAGTAATTTTTAAATGATTTCACAGCACAAACAGTCATTTTGCGAAATTAAAAACACCGGTGCGTGACGTATGTTCACAGCGAACGTCGCTGGCGTAATGGCGGAACGATCGAACGTATACGCCAATATTGGCGCCTTTGAAATGGAAACGTTTTAGTTGCGCGTACACGGTATCTGGACCTATAAAATATCTTTGACTGAGCAGGTATTTTTTTGTTAAGGAAGGCTTAGCTTTCCATTGACTCCCGTCGAGTTGGGGGTTGCTATGTATTTTTACAGAAAAGTTACACTATTATAAGCACACACACAAAGTTACAATATGCGGAAGCGCGTAATTTTTAAGAAAAAAGTTATTGAAAATCAATTATTCTTGCATTGTTTATATCTAATCCTACCATAAAACTGATGCCATTTTGTAATGTCATTTTCGTCAGTAGGGATGTCGATTCTTTCCGAAAAAAGGTCGATTTTTAAATCGATTCAAATCGT